AAAGTATTATCCGGACTCTGCTCCATGGAAAAGAACCATACATCGTACAGACACCGATGATAGTGAACGTTCTGGTCGTCCAATTGAGGTGGTTACTCCAGAAAACATCAAAAAAGTCTAGAAATTGGTTATATCTGATCGTAAATTAAAATAGCGTGAGATTGCTGAGACCGTAAAGATATCAGAACGTAGTGTGTTTACAATTATGCATGAACATTTGACCATGAGAAAGATCTTTTCGAAGTGGTTGCCGCATTTACTCACAGTCGATCAAAAACAACAACGTGTTGATGATTCAGAGCAGTGTTTGGCCATATTTACACGTAATAAATCAGATTTTTTTCGTCGGTATGTGACAATGGATGAAACATGGATCCATCACTTCACTCCGGAATCAAAACGATCATCATCTGAGTGGACTGCAGCCGGTAAACCACGTCCAAAGCGTCTAAAGGCACAACAGTCAGCTGGGAAGGTTATGGTTTCAGTATTTTGGGATGCACATGGCATAATCTTCATTGATTATTGGATCGTTTGAAAGCAGATATTGTGAAACCACGACCGCATATGGCAAAAAAAATATTTTGCTTCACCAAGATGATGCACCATGTCACAAGTCAATAAAACCGATGACAAAATTGCACGAAATTCACTTCGAATTGCTTCCTCATCCGCCGTATAGTCCAGATCTGGTCCCAGCGACTACTGGGTATTCGCTGATCTCAAAAAAATGCTCGCCGGTAAGAAATTCATCTTAAATGAAGTAATTGCTGAAACTGAAGCCTATTTTGAGGTAAAAGACAAATCGTTCTACAAGCACGACGTCGAGAACTTAGAGAAGCGTTGGAATAATTGTATTGTCCTTGAAGGTTTGGCAGAAAGAATTTGTTTTTCTTAGTTAGTCACACGACTTATTGAGTGATGTGTTATTCAACCCCTATTTTGAATTTTCGCAACTAATAAGTTTTTCCCAAAATACACTTTTCCATCGAATCGAATTCCCCTATTCTGAATCGCTTACATCGCTTATTACAGCTGTCTCCTGTAATGGATAAAACTTCAAATTTGATTCAAATCTAATCACTATTGGTTACTTACATATTAAATTAAACTCCTTTTAACTTTTTTACTTCTAATCTTCTTGCTCGGAAATAGGGAAAAAATTTCCATTCCCCTTTTATTCAGAATAAGGGAAGTGGGAATAGGGAAAAAACTGCCATTGATATATCATTCAGAGTAGGGGTGATGATTTTATAAATGAATAACTTATAAACGAATATTTAAAATAAATTTTTATCTTATGCGATTATCTATTTGTATAAGAAATCCTTTCGGGTTATAATACCGGACACACGATTTTCTCTATCGATGACTATCATATGTCTCAAACCAAGCGCGCGAAATTTGTTGAATATTTTAGGAACTGAGTCATGCTGAAAATAAATATATTTTTAATATTTAAAAAAAATGAAACAAATGATTATTACTTCAATTATTAAAAATTACAGATATACTTAATATAGATATTATTATTTAAAATTATAATATAATATAACCACAGTGATTATTAAATAAATCAAATAAAATACTTATTAATCTATTTTAATACTAATATTATTAAGCAGGAAAAATTACCTCACTGACGCGCACTGGTGACGGATTCATAAATATGTCAAAATTAATGGTGAAGTCGACATAATCGTCATTCATTTTGAAATCCTTAAATAAAATATATGCCGTTCATTACATTAGTTTATTATAAATAATTGTTTAAAGTTATATGATTTAGGGTTAACAACATTTAAAACAAAATATAGACTACCAATATTAGTGCAACATTAGTTAAAAATGGAAAAAATTGAGGATGAATCCTAGGGTTTAGTTTGCAATAGTTTAAGATAATAAGGATGATACTCGCTGTGAAGAAAGCACAAATCTTTGCCTTAGTAATAAGACGGAGCCAAAACATATTAAGCTCTAAATTCTGTACGTATTAAGACAACTAAGCAATTATGGGTCGGTATGTTATAAGTAACTATTAAATGCTATAAAAGAACCGTTTTATAGAGAATAATACTTAAATTTAATTTAATAATGCTATTTTGCAATTATTTTTTATGATGTATGTTTATCATATCAAAAAATACTAATAGGTCATAACATATCATACATATTACATAGTTGATAACTTCGTCAATTATGTTTCAATTTTATTAACCTCACAAAAAAAAATCGCATTAAAAAAAATCGTACAAAAGAATCGCACAAAAAAAGACCACATAAAAACAGATTTTACTATAGCACACGTTTTACCTATATAGCATACATACACCTGAAGAAGTCTTGTGTCAACGGTTTTGATCTGCCAAAAGAGTGATTATACTAATTTTTTACAAGATTGTTGTGTTATACAGGCATAATTTAGTAAATACTAAATGCACGAGCGTCATGTAGGAATGGAAGAAATATTACTACTTACATTAATAGACGGAAACCGTGGATAAAGATTTGTAAATGTTTGTATTGTGGTTTCTTTTTGCCAAAACCTCTTCTTTTCGTCATAAAGTGACTTTAGTAATATGACAATCAATTGAGAACGCAATATAATCCCACTTACTCGACCACGTGTACGTTCCTGAAAGCAAAAATAATAAATGAAACTCAAATAAATAATATAAATGTAATTAAATTTTATTACTCTTTCATTCACATCTTCCACAATTGGAAATCCATTATGATTGCACTTCTTTAAAACATCAAAAACATATTTGGCATTCTCGCGTAAGCGAAAGCAGATCACTGGTGAGCTCATAATTTGCGCTGCTTTTAAACCCATATATTTGGGTTGTGGTTCCCATGGCAACATCGGGACATTATTGATTTTTACTTGTATATCATAAAGGCCCTATAATGATTCATATACACTAAATAAATAAGAGCCTGGCTTCAAATATAAAATTAATATGCACCCACATCATTAAAATAGTCGCCTACCCATTTAGCGCTTATGAGCGTTAAAATGAGCGGGAAAAAGAATGAAGTTTCAACTCCAGTTGTTTCCATTAAAATAACGGAAAGACTTATTGTCATACGAAGTACGCCACCCAAATTTGCCGCAGCTCCGATTAACGCATACTTTCCGGGATTTAAAAAGTGCTAAAAATATGTATTGTTATAAGTAAAAAGTAATTGATTTATATTAGTTAATTCATTTACAGCTTGTGGGAAGAGATAGTAAAATATAGCTGCAACAAGTCTTCCCCATGCAGCACCTACAAGTGCAGTTGGTATGAATACTCCCAATGAAACATTTAAGCCGAAAGTAAAGCAAGATAGGAAATAATATATGATTGTAAAAATAGTTAATGTCAGTATTTTATGTGAGCCTGAAATATGTCAATTATCAGAAAATATATTTATAATTGATTTCATTTTGCTATTACCTGGAGGATCATGGAAAAGTGCTCTGACAGTTGCTTCCGGCGTTTGAAACCAAAGTGCAGCCACTGCATTATACTCATTGTCATCACAAAACAACTGATATAAAAGTAATATATAAACATTTTTTACGCACATTTTAAATTTTATAATTATATTTTTTTTTTATACCTGCACAGGATAGTCAGTAGGATCATTTCCTAACTGTCGGCAATCGTTTATAAAATAAATCGATGTGCATGCTAATGTTACTCCCATTAATGCAACAAATGCTGCTTCTACAACTTTAGCAAACTTAAATTTAATAAAGCGACTTCGAAAACGATTGATTTTTGTATTTATTGAATTCCAAATAGCGCCCAATAGACCGCAAGATACACCCAATAATAAAAATATAGGTAATTCGAAATATTCAAAAGTCAGCGGTTGATCGAATTGACCTAAGTTAAATAATCCAGTAAAAGTGAAGTTATTTAATCCATGATAAGCCGATAAAACAATATTTAAAGTAAATGAACTAATAATCGATGCAATCAAAGTACGCCAAATCAAATTTTGATTCCAGAAACTAGCGGCTTCTTCAAGTGAAAATAACATTCCACCTATAGGAGAGCCGAAGGCAGCAGCTACACCAGCTGCGCTACCTCCTAGAACAAAATCACGTTTCTCATGGTCATTACGGAAAGCTTGATATATGCCGCTATCAATATTAAAACTTGTACTTTTTCCTTGCGATATACCAGCAGCTACAACAGCACCTGCATGTATCATTGGTCCTTCCTATAAATGAATATTAGTTAAAAAAACTTTACTTTAATTCATAATTTATACACATACCTTTCCGCCAGCTAAGCCACCGACAACAGATGTGATTACACCAATGGCTTTTACGGCTAGTGTTTTGATCCGAACAATTCTTGGTATTTTGACGCCATTTAAATATGCTTTTACCTGTGGTATACCACTACCAGCTGTTATAGGCTCTATATATGTTACCAAAGTAGCGCCCAGTGCAACAGGTATCACACTAACAGTCATCCATAAAAGGTATGGTATAACTAAATCCCCACCCATACCAGTGGAAATAGGTACATTTGCATCAACGGCTAAAAATAAAATAATTAAGAAAATTAAAGATAATTATAATTATGTTCATTAAATAAATGTCGTATAAATAAGAAATAAGTAATTGAGTTACCGATCAGTAATTATTTAGTAATTAAAAATAACAGATTGACTGCGAAAGAGTTCTTTTAGGATCCCACTGGCATATAAAAAGTTACTTGATTGCTCTTTGGTTATAACACACGAAGACAAAAATTGCATTTCCGAAAATACTTATTATTGAAAAATGACATGGTAATAGCTTGGTACGCAGTCAAAATGCGTATTGTTTTTTTTATTTATTTACATATACTCTACTTACTACATGAGTACTAGCACTTTAGAGAAAAGTATACGTGTATTCGAACTTAGAGATGAAATAGATTATCTGTTTGAAAACACATGAATTTGCTTAAAATGCAAATTTGCTTTATATTCAATTTTGCTATTCTTTTATACAAATATGTATAAAAACAACTACTGGATGTTGACTCACTTTTTCTTATTGAACTTTTATTAATCTATTTATTATTATTTATTTACTAAACATATTAACACTCAAAGCGTTACTTACATTTTTTGAGGAGTTCGTATTTTCGTGTTGATAATGCTTCAATTATAATGTCAATAACACAAGCTACTAATGCAGTTATTACACCAATTTTTATAAAAATAATCCAACGTAAAATATCTCTCTGAAGATGAAAACGTCTAGTTTGAGATTTTCTTTGAGCATTTCGGTAAAGTTTATTTTCACATACTTCATAATCTAAACTCTGTAAAAGAAAAATTTAAGCTGGTTTATGTTTCGTATATATTATTTACACTGGATATACTTCATATATGCTATTCGAATTTCTTTGGACATTCTCTATGGCTGTAGTGCGAGATCTTACATGGAAGCTTGGACTGTGGTCCTCTAAATGCATAGAATTGCTACTATCACAAGGTAAATGGCGTCGTCTAACCCCTGATGTTGATGGCTGGAAAGAAAATACATTGCTAATGAAAAGTTCTTGGTTTGGTAATAAATGCAAAGCTGTGTTACCTTTTCTTTGTCCAAATTATGATACGAATCTGATTCACTGTCACTAGTATCTATGTGTACTAAAGTGTCTACATCCTTCTTATTACTTTTAGAAAGTTTGACCTCATCTTCTGTATCTGATTCACTATTTATACACGCTAAAGTGTTGACATCTTTGTTAATTTTTCTATCTGTACATAGCAATTCTTCGTCGGTCTCAGTTTGAACTTTAATATTGTTTTTTGCTGCCTCTTGCTCTTCATCGGAACTTGTATCATCGACAAGCAATACTTCGTCCACTTTTGGTTTCATTGTTAATTTCAGTACTATGTTACTTTGCTTTTAAATTAAACATAGATATTTTGCTAGTGTTTTAACTCGCATATATATATATAAACTTAACAAGAGCCTTTTCTTTGTATATTAGTAACTCACTAATTTTATTATTATATATATTTTGTATATATTGTATATTTAACACAATAAGTCATAAATTATTAAAAATTGCGAATACTAATACGTACACCCCCAAAATATGATATCAACAAATGCGAGACTGAAATTAGTCCACGGTTGCATTTCTACAAAAAATTCATAGTAAAAATCAAATCTTATAAAAAGACTTGTAATGTTTTTTCTATTATGTTAAAAATGTTATGTTAAAAATACTCCAAAAATAATAATTAAATAGTTAGTTAATATTTGTACAAGTGATTTATATATATATGACAAAAAGGGAAAATGCTATAAAAATAACAACTTTTATTTTTAAAATATATTTTATTAGGCAAATTTCTTTATTCCTTAAATATTGTTATAATGACAACTGCATACTTAGGACGTGTGCGAGATAGGCTAAGTTGATGCTAAAACAAATGGGAATTTTTTTGGGATTTTTTGCACTGCACACATTCAGCCATTTATCAACACGTATCGACACATCACTACATTATTGTTTCTAGACAGTTATTAGTAAAACAATTTTTAATTAAAATAACATGCATTTAAAGTCAGATTATGTAAAGTAAATTGAAATTTCCTAGAGATTTTTGCACTGCACTTATATAAATATTTATTTTTTTGCACTTATTATTTTTGATTGAAAGTTTTCAAATTTATTTATTAAACATCTTTTAAAATTTTTGCAATGGTAACACATAATTTATCTTATTTATATCTAATTTACTCTACTCGAAATTCTGGTAAATACCAACATTCGCTGCCATACCGACATAATTTACTATTTCGCTGAACTTGCCATTAATTTACTTGAACTCACATACGGCTTATGCTTTGATCAGGTATAACTTTATTTATTAAATTCTATAATTGATTCTTCTTAATCGTTAAATAAAGAGTGGTTGCTACAAAAAATTTAATATGAAGTTGGAAAATAAACGATGCTAATAATAAAGTGATTTTCGAATGCAATATGTGTAATATAGTTTTCAGCAAAAAAGCGGATAAGATTAGGATAAATGACGCATTTGATTATGAAACATATGATCTTAATGAGACCGATGAGATCTTGAAACTATTTATAAATAGTTATTGAATTTTAGAATATTATATATATATATATGTAATGAAAAACCTATGATATGCTTCATCTAGAGGAATGTAAACATTTTCTAAATAATTAAATTTCAATTATTTCCTAATGACGTATTGTCTGTCTAAATATAGTACAAACGGGTATTAAAACAGTTTTAATGCATAGACTTTTTTATAATTAAAATTTTTCAACAGCCAATTTAAATTTAAAAATTTGTCTTTTTGATAGAATTCAATAAACATACAAAAATTGTATTTTATTAAGTTAAAATGATTTAGTATAATATATACTAAATAGTATATATTTAATTTTTAATAAAAATTACAATATATACATATTACTTTATTTTTATTCAAAATAACTCTTATATAGGGAAAATTTATTTAAATTTGTAATATTTTTATTAACTATTTAAACACTTTACTATTATTAAATTCCACCTATAAGATGAACCACACGATTTTTATAACGTTTTGAGATATCTTTCTCAATTTTGAATTGTAGATCTTTTGTTTGTTTTGTTAATTCGGCTAGTACCGGAGTTAATTCCAGGCGTTGCTGTTTTAGTTCAGCCGCTTGGTCTTTTAGTGTTTCTTTTGTTGAACGTATTTTTTCAACACCCTTTGTCATATGATCCAATTTTGAAACCAACAAATCTGCATATTTAGGGGAATGCTTTAATTGGAAGAGATGACGTGTTTGTTCACAATTTATTTCTTGTAAAATTATGTCAACATTTTTTAGCATTTTGACAATACTTTCACTATCATGTGTGGATATATTGTCGGATAAAGCAAACATAATATTATTACTATTATCAAGCTGATTTAGTTCAAACAATCGCATACGCAAATACGCTTCCAGCTCATAAAGTTCATCCAGAATACGATTTCGGTAATTTGGTGCATCCAATAATGTGTACGCTTGTTCACCTATTTCAATATAATAATCAAATAAAATTTGAATTTATATCCTATAATTAATTAAATCACCTTTAGCTACTCCACCATCCATTCCAACACCTTCCACAACAATTCCATACTCCTCAATGGGTACATCAAAACTTACTTCAACATTGTCGGCTGCACTGGTTTCAATACCCCAATCGATTTCTGCACCTTCTGTTTCACTTAAATCATAATTTACCGTATTGTTTTCTAAATTTAAGTCTCCGAAATCGATAATTTCAGCAGAAATAGTTGAAGAAGTTCCGCCATTATCGTCGCAACCAAAATCAATTTCATTTTCCGTTGCAACGCCAGAATTTGAAGAGTTTCTGTTGGTTATGTTTAACTTTAGAACTGGCTCCTCAACAGATAATGGAGCCTCTTTATGTATATACTGGTAAATCGTTGTGTTTCCAAATTCAACTAAGTGTTTAAGTAGAGGTAAACATACCTTCTGTTCTGAACAGTCTGCATATAAATCGATGGCATTTTCTATATTATTTACATTACGAATAGATTTTTGATAAATTTCAGACAATGTGTTTAGCACATTTATAAATTCTTCCTGTAAATTTAACCCTTTTACGCCAAGTTGTTGTAGAAGTGCAGTATGTTCTGCCTGTATTTGAGTTTCAGGCTTAGCAAGATCTTGTATTCGTTTTAAGCATTCATCAGCTTGTTGCTCTAGCTTAATCATCTGCTTTTTAAGGCCAGGTATTTCATAATTATTGTTACGTACATAAATTTGTGACGTTTCAACTAGATAAATATTATCCTTCTCATACAATCGCACAATTTCTTGCCAATCCTTCATGCGTTGACTGCCGTAACTACCGAATACGTTTTTCGTACCCTTTTCAGTTTCTGTCAGAATTTCCACAATTTGCTTGCAGTGAAAATAGTTAATATCTATATTAAAAAATTATTTCAGTACAAACGACTGCAATTAATAAAACCTACTCACTTGTTCCGGTTAACAACTTTATTAGTTGTTCATTTGAAGGCATATCCTTTAAAGCATTTGTTATCTTGTTACGGATATCCTTTAGTTGCATTTGTATATTCTTTGGGCCAATTTTTCTGCTGACCAACCAATCATGCAGTTTATATATGTGTATATCAATGGGAATATCTGCTTCCTGTTGTTAAAATTTTAATGAAATATTTAATAATTATTAAATATACTTACATTCATCTCGGCACACTTGTTTTGTCCACGCAAACAAAAATATAATAAAAAATAATTGATAGTAAAGCAGAGTCGTAATAAAATGTAGTAAAAAAATACCTTTTCCAATTCACCATATTTGCTATGCAACATTTCAAATCGTTTTTTCTTCTTCACAGACTTATTTTTTTTCGGCATATTAATTGAAATTTCTATTGAATTTATATATGTATTTACTTATTGAACTTTTTTAGAAAAAATATATAGTTCATTATAACAAAATTACAAATTTTTATAGCTGAAAAATTTTGTTTCGATATTTTAAAATGTCAGTTTTAATTTTTAAGAATATAAGATAATGATTATTTTAATTGTTTTCTACATTACTGCGTTTTTAAAAATTATTTATTGTTATTCTCATATTATGACGCGATTATCATTCCCTGTAAGGAATGAATTAGAAGATTTCTGCCTGTGGATCGTAAGGAATCAGGTGTGTCTAGATTAAATATATATGAAACCATTTATTCTGTTGGGGTAAAACTTTGGATTAAGTGAAAGCGTTATCATTGTGCACAATATAATTAGTGCAGATAATTTAGTATATATATCACATAAATAATTTATTAAAATACAAGTTCTCCTATGCCATAGCAACACGATGGTATAAAAACAATTCTTATGTTATTTATATATATATTGCATATTTTTTTTTATAAATGTAATAAAAGTTGTCACAACCAAATTTCAAATTGCAACTGATCGCGTTAGGCTTCATGAGTAGAAAAATATGTGAGTAATAATCATAATCACGAGGCTTCGGTGAGTAAAATAATATATTAATGTTATTTTCTATATGTTCTAAATCATAAAAACAAAAAATAAACTTTAAAGTTATAGTTTATAATTCGACAAATAAGGTTTATGAAGGACTCTACACTAATGTCAGTGTTGTTGTTGTAACCCGTTGGGACTTGTAAGCTGATAATATAAAAGAATAAACAGACGGTTACATGGGTTGAGAAGTGAGTGGGTAGTAGTTGGGGGGAGCTGGAGGGAGGAAAGAAAATGGGAAGGATTGAGTGGATGGAATATAATTGAACGTTAGTCTGAATCCAAGCGGAGATATCTGGCTACTTAAATGGTGTGTGTCCAAAGGTCAATTAGACGGAGGTTTGTGTGTGCGGTGGGGCGGGACAACAAATGGGTGACATCATGGGGAGAAGAGTTGGAGTCAGGGCACATATTTGGAATAGATGTTTTTATGCGTGACAAATAACTGCTTAGCACTCGACAGTATCCTGATCCCAATCGAACTTGCTGCACGGTGGAGGTGTCGTTATTTCAGCGAGATGGTCAGGTGGAGGCGTATTAAGAACCTTGTTGTCAGATAACCTTGGTCTTGAAGAGGGTACTATATCTGTGTGGAGAGTTACTTCACGTTTATATTTGACTTCACTGATGTTAGCTCCATTGTAAAGGATGTCGATATCGACACGATCTATGGTAAGAACGGAGGGAGGGCTCTCCTAGCCATAAAAACAAAAAATAATCTTTAAAATTATAGTCTACAATTCGATAAACAAAATTTATAAAGGGCTTAAACTAATGTCAGTGTACATGCTCTATGATTCTCCAGTTATTCATTATCCATTTTTATTTCTGCTATATAGCTAGTAACGACCCACCATCATAATTTTATAGCAATTCTTCATACGGTTGGGAATTCCGGATATAATATTAAAATAAATTATATTTGTATTACACATATAAGGTATATTTTTTTTTCATTAATATTTTATACATTTTCTTTTAATTACAACATCTAGAATTGGAAGTAGTTTTTAAATTGATCAATGCAATATATCAATATTTAATACATTAATTGTAAATTGTATGAATTTGTTAAAACTGCTTTAAGATGCGAATAATTCACTTTAATATAAAATAGATTATTGAAATGTATGCTTGGTAACAACAAATAAATTATTATAGATAACTTTATTTTTACTTTTCAGAATCACTTTCTACAAGATATTTAAATTCGATAGACCACCAAGGATAGACGGCATTACACAACGCATGTGGATACTTAACAATAGTTTTCTCATTACTAATTGTATCAGAAAATTCTAAACATATTCCTTTGATTCGCATACCTGCACCCAAAAATTTTTTCACAGATATCAGACGGCAAGCATTACAGTTTCCGTACAAAAGATGTGAAGGAAATGGTTTTAAATAATTGCAAAATATCGCTAATATCCATTCACCCTCATTTGGATTACAAAATTTAGGAATGGTTGTAGTATCATCCTTGTTGTGTTCATCTGATAACGACTCCCAATCATCTACCACTGCCTCGGTTTTTTTTGGCGTTTCAATAACGTTATGTGCGTAATGAGATTTTAGTTTAAAACACATAATATACAATTCGGTAACTTCAACGTACCAAGATGCACAGTATATGCGTCCTATTAAATATTGGAGAGAGTCGAAGCTATCCAGTCTTCCAGAAAGTGGCTCATAATATAGATAAAGATATTTTATAACATTAGCACGTAAGGATTTTATATCCGAAGGGCTCATATCTTTGATTTGAAATTGTGGAATTAACTTTTCGCAAATATCACCAGTTTTTTTCTTCTTATGTACATAGCGTTGATAAATGTTTTTCCAAAAGTATACGGAGTTTACCAATGCAGCTGTTTGTTTACAAATTAACGCAAAGGAACGTATGTCTTCAGGGGGTATATACTGAGACACATAGTACCAAATTTCTTCGGCAATATTGCTGCAATCCTCATTAAATTTATCTTTTTGTGCATTATTTGGTAATTTTTTTGTAGTGTTCTGAATTTGCTGTCTTGTAGGTTTAACTTTTAGGTAAATATTTTGTTGCAAGCTTTCTGAAAAGTTTTTTACATATATC